AACATGTCTGTTTCTCTTCATGTGGTGCTCAACAGAGCTATAGCATCCCTCTTGTTGGAGAACCTCCACACCTGGCTCCTTTTTGATATATCAACTACTTCCTATATCGTTTTCATTTCCAGTACTTTGGCACCTAACGTCCCATATACTGCTCTTGCTTTCTCTTGGTGTCTGTGAGTTCATCTACACAGATGAGTTTAACATATTGGTTTAACATATTGGTGAAGCCGTGGTAATTCTGCAGGCCCATAGTGATAGAAGTGTCAACTTTAACTTTCTTGATTAAATCTCTTTCATAACGTAGGTGTAAATGGGTGAGACAGACAGATGCAAGCTTGGTGTGTCTGCAAGCCTGCTTTGCTTTAGAAGGGTATTCTCAAGCTTTATGTAGCCCGTCTTTCAGTAAACTGCAGTTACTCAGTGTGCCTGGCCTCTTTCCAGCAGTGGTAATACCAATGGGAGTTTCCTGGCTTCTGCTCCTTGTTTCTTCAGCACCTCTGAATCTTCAGAAATGCCTGATACGGTGAGATTGTTGTGTTCGAGCTGCAAACAAAAGATTAAAGAGGAAGGTGTGCATCTGCAAGATTGAAAACAGTTAATAACAATAGCACTATCATACAAATTAATTTTCAGTTCTCAGCAAAAGTATATCATGTGCAAATTCACTCAAAGGAGTAGGTGGAATGATTCAGGACCTGTATGTAGGGGCATGGGGTCTTTCCTCAACCCCTCCTCCTGCAGCAGGTGGGATGTGGTGGGCTAAGCCAGCCACTGCCAGGCGCTGTGTTGCTGTGGAGGTGCTGTGTTGCACACCACGGCAATGCCATGTCTTGGGCTGTTGCTGGTCAAGTTAGCGAGATGTAAAACCACCATGATCTTTTATCACCCAAAGGTGAAATGTAAAGAGTGGCTTAACCTGTTTTCCTCATTTTTGTAATGCCAGAACAACAAGCTATCTTGGAAAATATTATAACTGTGTGTACAGGGATAGTTTGCAAAAGGAGGGAGCATGAAACAAATTAGAAGACTAGTAAGTTGAGTTAGGATACTTTTGTTCAAATCAATGTGAAGTTTGAATTAGCATTTGTCCCTTGGATTTTTTTTTACAAGATGATGTCTGTCTAAATTGTCCGCCTTCCTGGTTGATGTTGGTGTAGCCTCATACTAATGCCTGGGTTTACAGATGGCACCATGGCCAACCTGCAAGTGTGGACCTGCCACTTCTCACCAGAGCCTTTTATCACTTCAAAAGTCAGCTGAGGAACAAGACTCTATATTGCTGTTTTAAAAATAACCACATGTCGTCTTATGCTTTGCAGCACGAGTCACTCTAGTAGGGTCTGTAGGCATGAGGAGGTTGTGACCAGGCTTCCCTCGGTCCCTTGTTCAAGTAACACTGCACACCTGGCCCAGCCTGGATGCATCTAATCCGGTTCTCAAACTGGAAATCATCAAATTTGATGAGAATAAACTTTAGTAGTCCCTAAAAGAACAGAGAAACAGGTTGAAACATGATTTAGTGAATGTGGAACATACTTTGTTATGAATACTTTTGTCTGTCTTAGTCCAATAATTGTAACATACAATAAACTGATAGAGCAGAAGGGTAGATCTTTTTTTTGTGCACAGCTGCAGAAAAAGCACATGTAAATCTGTCGAAATTGCCACCATTTTGGTTATTCTTCAGTATTTAATAATTTGCTTCTTGGCTATTGCACTACTTGACATTTCACTTGGCATTATTTCAGTTGAGTTAAGAATAAAAGATAGTTTTGCTGTCTCTAGGGACTGATTTTCTTGGACTGAGTAGTTTGAATAGTTGGACAGTGATTTCCAAAGTATTGTGCTAGAAAATGTTAACAAACCCTTGCAAAGCAGTGCCAGCATATCTATTTTTGTTTTCTTAAGAGCAAAGATGTGAATGTTTTCATGATGTTGAAAGGTACTTCTGAGTTACTTGGAGTTATTCATGAATTTTACAAGAATTACAAATTCTGTCCAAAAATGCTGTCATCCTTAGACAGAAACTTCGCTGGAGTAGACATGATATGACAGATGGGCTGGAGCAGCCCCTCATGAAGGATGGGGCAATCACAGCTGTGATGGCAGCTTATCGACAGGCTTTGTTTTTGATTGAGAGCTGCAAAGCTTGGCATGGTGGGCTGAATTCTCTGCCGCTGAATGAGCTAACCTGGGAGCCCTGGTGCATCTGGAACTGTCTGTAGCACCTGCTTGAAAAGGGGAAATTCTCATTTTCTTTAAACATTGAATGTTGTTGCTTTAAAACAATTCTGACTCTTTAAAGGTGCAGAGCGAGAAAGTATTTCGGGGTGCTTCATTTCTTCCAGTGCTGTGCATTTTCAGTGTGTAGTCAGAGGATTAGTCTGAGGATTCTTGAACGTAGAAATGTTTCAGATTTGATTTTTTTTTTAATGTATGGCAACTCTTGGTAGTACAAGTTCGTAATTTTGACATCCTCAGAAATTATCAGTATTAAAATCTTTGTATTTATGCCCAACTCAGTTACTTTGTGTGGCTTAATAATTTTATGTATTTGTTTTCTAAGATACAACACTTGCTTAAAAATTCCAAGGATGCACATGTGCTTTTGTTATTTTCTTTACATTTCAGAAAATAAGCCAGGACTGCACAACTTTGTCACTGAAATAGCATTCCCTACAGGAGCTGCACTATTCGCTGTGGTTGTATAGTATCACAACTTGACCTTTTCCTGATGCAGAGTTTTTTGCCTTGTCAGGAAGAAATTAGAAAGACCTGTCATCTTGTTACATTAATAGGCAGTTAGGGCTGCACAGGTTAGAATAAATAATGGGCATATTAAAATAGATAAACATAAGCAAATATGTTTAGTATATTTAGTAGTTATCATAATCTATGCAAGTGTTCTTTTATTTTTTTTGAAATTAGATTGCTGTGCCATAATAAGCACAAGCATCATTGCCTAGTGCCCGGGCTTTAGTAGCTAGGCATTTGGATTTGCAGAATCTAAATTTCCCCATTTTGTTTTCCTAGAAATGAAATATGTTGTGTTTTTATGGATAAACAGTAAGCTTCTAATTGAGAATATATAACCAGGGGGTGCAGTGAGCAACCCAAAGGAATGTTGAGGGCGGAAGGTGCCTGTTTGTATCTATCAGGCCATAGATATCTACATGCTTTTTTGTGTTTCTTTATTATTTGCTTTTCTAACCATACAGAATCAGTACACTGTGCATTGCTGCTGACAACTGGCAATTTCTGACTTCCCAGTAGAATTGGATTTTGAGAAGATTTAGATGTGTGGAGTGAAACGTGGCTTCCTGGTGCCTTGTCTGGTGGAACTAAGTAGGAGGTGTCAGCGGGCCAAGACTTGACATTTGTTGTTATTTTCCTACCCTTAAGAAGTAAAAGAAAGGTGTATTGGGAGATCAGAGACTGTTTGGATTATTTTGGTGACTTGAACAGTGCAGTACAGTCTAAGTTTTGACAGGCAGTTAGCAATTTAAGGTAGAGAGCCTTAAGAAGTAAGGATGCAGTAACATTAGTGTTTTATTTCAAATGATGTCTACCTTTCATGAATAATCTTCTCCAAGATTTGCACCCTTGCCAGGATCTCGGAGCTCTTTCAGGCAAAACAAGCCTGGATGAGGCACTGCAGGCAGTGACGGACAGGCAGATCGCCAGGCTCAAAACCCTCGTGTCTGTAGATATGGGGTCCTCAGTACCAACAGTTTCACTCTGGACATCCTCTCCTGCTGCACCAGGAGTCGATTGTGTGGGCACGGCCTCAAATGCTGTACTCGTGGGGAGGAGAGGCTGAGGAAGGAAGCTGGGAGGATCTAAATACCTTGTCTTAGCCAATGGGTGAGGTGGTGACATCCAGCCATGGGCACAATAATTTGTGGCTGATAGTCTCTTAAATGGCTCAAGCACTTTTCTAAATAGTTGAGCATATTGTCCATCATGGATTATTGATTTGAAATAAAAAGTTGTTTATGCTTAGGATGGAAAAATGTGGACCACTAACATTTCTGGGCATTAAGGCAACAAGGGGACATTTAAAGCAAGCTACATTTTGACTGGGGGGAAAAAAGTGAGCTTTGACATTTTTTATGGTTATTACTGTGTGAAAGCCTATAGGCTCCTAGGTATTTGAGGGCTTGAATATTCAGTATTTCAGTCAGCACAGATTAATAGAACAAGATGAAAAAGTGCTTCTGCAGCATGAACAAAACTACTCATGTGTTTTCTTGAAGGTTTATTTAGCTGTGCCGGAGAACATGGGCACAATATCTGTGTTCATTTGGTCTTTACGAAAAATGATAGAAGGCTTCCTTTTTTTCCCCACTTTTCATTTTGCTCAGGTGATTTATTTATGAGGTACTGTTTGTGTGGAACAGTTGATTTGTTTTAGAGAGAAGTGGAAGCTTCTGTGAAACGCTCATGTTGGATGCAGATCCACATCCCTGCAATATGGTGCTAAGGCATTTCAAAGTGGTTGTATTCTGGTTAAGACAAAAGTTTGGGCACTTCAGTGGCAGTGAAATAAAACTGCAGAATCTAAAACCAGGAGGTTGCAAGTGTCACTTGCTGGATGTTGGATGCCATAGATCAGTTCTGTATGACCTTTAGCAGGAGTGAAAATGTATTTGATTTTTGATCTATCTCCTAGACAGTACACAGAGTGCTGAAATCCTGCATGTTTTGGCATAAAAACGATAGAGCACAAAGCAACAGCTCGATTTGAAAGATGGGTTTATTTAAATTAAAAATACAAACCCCATTTCTGTCAGAATATGATTGACCATTGAAAATATGAGCAGCTAAGGGAAGCGCAATTCATCTCTTGAAGCCCTGTAGACAAAACTTTAATCAAGCACAAGTTATGCCTTGGTCATGCCTGATTTTCCAAGGTAATTTGGTATCAGTCTGTGGCTGCATTGTGCAGGAAGTCACACTTGATGTTTATTATGATCATTCTCAATTTAATTCTTTTTCAGTTGAAATCAGTGGTGTTTGTATTTGTCTCTCCATCCACTCGCAGGTACTACAGTGCCACCATTTTGCAGATGTCCGGCGTTGAAGACGACAGGCTTGCAATCTGGCTGGCTGCACTGACAGCATTTATAAACTTCATTTTTACTCTCGTGGGCGTCTGGCTCGTTGAAAGAATGGGTCGCCGGAAACTTACACTTGGTAGCTTAACAGGTGAGTGCTTAATTAGAGTATCATATATTCTTCATAAGTATTAGTAAAATTAAAATAAAATTTCAAGTGTTAATTTTACTACCGTAGTCATATTTAAAATAACAGTGTTGGCCTCATCATCTTTTCAAGACTAATAGTATAGTACCTCAGCTAAAGGCTAATTTAAAAAATAGATGTTTAGCATCTTATTTTTTCAGGTGCAGTTTCTCCTTCAAGCCATGTTTGACAGTGTTTTCATTTAGCTTTTTACACTTTTTCAGTATAAGGAATCAAATGCTTGGTACTTCACTGCTGGTTAGTTTTTAAACCTCATGTGTGTACCTGTGTGATATGTAATTTGGGGCTCATTTAGAACATCTTATCAAGAACTGAAAGGCAGAATTCTGGATTTGTACACTTTGTCCAAATATTCAAGCACAGGAACTCACCATGTAGCCGTTTCTTGGAAGCAAGAAAAGGCAGAGCAAGCAGTTGTGCCTACACTCAGCCACGTCCTGCCATTACCCTGAAGGTCCCTGCTTGCTCCCGCATTACATTGCTCTCGCTGTGGCTGAAGCGATCTGTGACTGATACCAGCCTCTGGTGGAAGGTTCAGAGATTTCCAAGAACAGGTTTTGGAAGAGTGAAACAGTTCTTGCTCCTCTTGAATTAATGTTCACAAGTGTGTGTCTGGGAAGGTTTAATGCTCCATATTTTGTTCTGTTGTCACTGTCAGAGATCCAAAATTCTACTTAATGCAACACAGCAGAGGGGGGGACCACCTGCCAAGGCGCTGGCCATCTGCAGTTCCCAAGGGATGAGCGTTAATCTACACTCACAGTGTTGGAATGCATTTATATAGGCAGAACAGTGGTGGCACAGTGCTGTGTCTGGTTTGATACACAGTTATTCAAGTCTGTAAATTAAAACATGCAGTTTGGAGGCAATTTGGTATTGCAAGTTATAATAAATATGTGTTTGATGTGTTACCATTTTGATTTGGAGTCAAGAAACCTGAAGCGTTTATGATCCAAGTTCAGAAATGTGGTCGTGACAGAGAAGGTTGGAAAAGCACATTCCCAATGTCTTAAAAAGTGAACAAAAATCTCAAACCACTACTTTTATCACAGTCTACTTCTCTATCAGTTATAATACATATCCTCGTTACATCCTTCTGTGTCTCCAGCCAGTGCCAAGTCTTTCAGAGTTCTGTACCATTTCCTATGCCCTTCTTTTCCCCGTGGTACTTGTAAATTTTCTTGTCTTTTCACAAAATGGATCTCTCCTGGCACTGCACAGGCACTTCTGGTTCTTGGGTGCTGCCTCTCCTTTGTCCTCTGTTGGAGTGGAGTATTTACGTATTTATATATGTGACCCCTATACCTCATACATCTGGCCAGCCCCTTGAGAGTTTATTGCTTATGTGGACCCAGCTGTAGAGGTGTGATTCTCACGTGGACTTTCCATACAGTCACAGAACTCTCTGCTTTTTGGCTCTGGTTACCATATTCAAAGGTCATGCATTTGAAATGTAGATACAAAAGTCTGATACAAGTAAGACAGAATTAATGAAGGGGAATAATACAGTTGAGTTATTTGTCTATGATGGTTGGACACAAAGGAATTGTTTGGTAAAAATATTCTTAGTTAGTTGCCAGTCTGCAGCATCACTTGATCCATAACGCATTGCTGTGTTCTTTATCATACAGTCGCTCCTGAAGAAAAATACAAATAATGACATTAATGAAATCACATGTCATCTCTCTGTAATATTTGCAATTTTTTTATGCCATGTGTGACACTTTGATTTAGGTAGTGGTGGGTATGCTGTGTTTTCCTTAGCTGGAGGGCTGTTTAATAAAATAATTACTAAATCTGCTCATGGATTTGTTTTCCATTATGAATTTTCTCATGGGGTAAACTTATATTTTAGTGCTCTACTTTGGTTTGCATTTCTAAGGACATTGACTTTCATACTGAGTTATTACCGGCTGCTTCTCTGGCCTTTGGAGAAGCCAGGTATGCCCCAGTCTCCCATTACATAAAAAGAGGACAGAAGTACTATGTTTGCCTGCTGCTGCAAGGCTGTGGGGTTTTTTGGTAAACGTTAATTGATTTTGTTTGTTAGATGGTAACCTACAAGAATATTATTCAGTAGAGAGATAGTAACAGTAATATTTTTATTAAAAGCCAACACACTGTAATTTTATTTTGTAAACTCATGCAGCTTTTCCTGCTTTCTGAAAACATTTGGGAGCTATTTTACTTTATAGTTCTGTTTACTGTATTTACTGATTCCTTGTAATTTCCTGTTCTTGTTATATTTTGGCATCATTTCTTTATCTTTCTTTTGCTCTTTTTCTTAAGTTAATTTCTTTCTTCAAAGCTGTTAATTGAGAAACATGCAGGAATTTTAACATGTACAGCATCCATTTACTTGTGTAAATTTCGCTTTCAGAAATTGTTGATTTGAATGTATGATGGTAGTTGGGTATTGGACAGTTGGTATCTCTCTTAGTAACATAGAGGATCTAAAATATCTTCAGGATAATTCTTTTTTTATTTTTTTAATCTCGGTTAATGATGTACTGTAATTGTATGATGACATAGACAGACTTCCCACAGAATGAAGATATATAATAAACTTCATTTGACAAGTTTACATATTCAGTACTTTTCCAAAGAAATAAGACATTTGCAGAGGTACTGGAAGTGAGTGGTAGTGTATTTGGTTAGCTTAAAAGATGGACAAATCATATTTAGAATGAATATAAATAAGATTATAGGTCCCCTCTAAAGATATTTGCCATCTGGTTTATGGCATTTTGAAAGTACAGCAAATCTAGTGCCATATCCACCCTGCCCAGAAAACTGAGATTATTAGTGTACCTACTTGCCATAACAGTACAAAGCCAAGTATGGAATAAACTGATACCACATTTTATGGTGGGTAGGTGCTTTCTCCACATACTATTTGTGATTGAATTTAAGGTCTTAGTTGGCTTAGTTCAGGTAAACGTGTGGTCCAGTCACCTCTTGCTCATGCATATTCATGCCTGTTGGCCATGGCTGCTGCACAGACACATTCATGAATAATCTTATTATACAGATCTCCGTACTTAAGATATTATTTATATCTCAGAAAACGTTTTTCACATACTTGGTGGGTTTGCCTGCTAGGAAACTCTTGCTTTTCTCTTTAAAGAGATTAAGCCATTAAACCCACCCCCAAAACTGCCAAAACATCCCCTTTGCCCACCAAAAAAAAAAACCAACCAACCTTAAAATAAGAAGCAGATAATGTGTAATATCTTAAAGATTACTGGAGTGACATGTTAAGGTTTTTAATGTAGTGGCATTTCTAAAGGTTTACACAGATGCATTTCCGAGAAAATTATTTACATGCTCCTAACATACAGAGCAAAGGGGTGATGAGGAGTATTTGGAATTGAATAAAGTATCCTTCCTTTGCCCTCAACCATTAAGCTTTATCATTGCAAGCCTCTAAATGTGTGCTGCCTTCTAACTGGGATGTGTGTCAGTGGTTTGTGAGTCTATTTCGTATGGTAAGGATAATGTTGTTAGAGCATTAGTAACTAGCTGACAAAGTTATAACTAGCTTTATATTTTTAGTGCGAGTAATCTGTAGATCAGGTTGTACATGTTTTATGCGACCTCTCAAGTAAAATGCGCCACATAAATAGCGAGTATACAAATACATATACAGGGTATTTTATGCAACCTAGAATTAGGTGCCTCATCAAGTAGCAAGATGTAAATGTTTTATAAGTCTGAGTTTGGGATAGTTGCAATGTATCATGTGTAATAAAATATATCCACTGTCATTAAAATGATAGAGCATATTGTGTGTGTGTGACAAATAAGGTAGGAAAAATATGGGTTATGTTCTAGTACTGGCCTGTTGCACAAAATATGAACCTTTTTTGCCTTCTTCCCTCGTCATTTTGCCCAGCTTGCATACAAGGAATTTGTTGAGCAAACAGATGGAAGGGGGCTTTTTCATAGCAGATGTTATGTGTGTGCACTCTTTGAAACGATCAGAAATTGCAGTTGGACTTTTTGGTGGTGCTTTTATGAAAAGTCAAATTTCTCTCATTTCGCAAGGGAAGCAGAGTCCATGAAACAGCTGATGCTATTCTCTGTTTTCCAGGAAAGCCTGCAAGTCTGGGTCTGGGAGTGTGATAATTTCAAAATCATTGTTCAATTTTACCTTTACAGCATTATTTTCAACACCAAAAAGAATTTATCCATTCATTCATGCAGTCTTCAATTCCACATATAAAAAGAAAATTCTTGTCCAGATATTAAATTAATGGGTTGTTAAACCTGATGCACTTGACTTTAACATCTAACCAATTCAAGATGTGGGTGTCGCAAAGGGTATTTTTCATAGGTTATCATCACAACTCCTTAGCAAATGCTGCTTGCACAGTAATGGGGTGCTTTGCTTTCCCAAGCATAGTTAGTTCAATAGAAAATAATTTCATGTGCTCTGGAGAAAGGTATCACATTGTTCTTTATCTGTATTTTTAGGTACTGCTGTAGCACTCATTATCCTAGCTTCGGGATTTTTGCTATCAGCTCAGGTCTCGCCAAGAATCACTCTTAATCCACCAGATCCTTCACATCAAAACTCTACCTGCACAAAATACAGGTGAGATTTCATGATCATTCATCTAAGCTTCTTGAAGATTTTTTCCGATTGAGTTTTATGACCTTGTGTGAGTAATAGACAAGTATTAACAAAGTCCAGTACAAAGAAGTCAGTTAGATACCTAAAGTTAAAATCCTAACTTCCCTCAATAGAGCAAATTAGACTCTTTGCTTAAATGCTCTGAATAACCCTTTGGAGTCTTGGACTAAATAAGGTGGTTAAGTGGCAGGCGACACACTTGAGCTCTCCTCTCTTTTATCATACCTGCTGCAATTTATAGTGGACATAGTTAGAAATATTTTAAAAGTAATTTGTAAATATGCTTGCTGTTATGTATCTACTTGTAGATTTGTCATGTATAGCAGCTGTAAACTCTTCAAGAACATGTGTTTCTTGCCTTCTGTCTTCTTGAGTGAAAAAGAAACAGTCTTCAGTTAATTACAGACTAATTAACAATTAAAACAAATGTGGGGGGGTTTGACCTTTCTATAGTGGGTGGAAGGCACACTTTCATATGCAATCATAGTTCAAATAACATTACTTCTAGGGTGTTAATAATGTGTTATTTTCTATATTTTGTGGGTTTTACTCACATGTGAGTGCTCTTATGTTCATTTAGCTGGTAGACTAAAATTCCCTATTGAGAGAAGACTAGGTAAATGGCTGAAGAAATTCTTACTTATGTTCAAAATCTGTTTTGCATGTGTTTGCAATAGAGATAAATATCAAGAAATTAGAGGTACACATCTGGTTTCCTAGTGATACTGGCTAGAAATACGGTTCATGGATTTTCATATGCCAGCACAACATCTTAGGTGAAAGATTCTGAGGATCTGAAGCTTTATAAACCCCTAGGAAGGGGGTAGAAGGTCTTTAAAAGAGTGTAAATAGATGCTGGTAACGACAACATTAGATACTGAGTCTCTACGTGCAAAAACTGTATTTATGCTTGTGCTCTGCTCCAGGGTCAACTATATTTTGCCATTTTTGAGATGTGCCTATACAGCTTTTTCAAATGACAAGTAGTCTAGTTAAAAGATGCAGAGGGAGGAAAAGCTTCCAAATGCTCTCCTTTCAGAGTAAGATAATGTTAATAGCAGGATGTCAAAAGGATTTGCCTAGGATGTAAGTTAACTGTTTAGAAAGGATGTTTCGGAAGCACAGATGCACCATTTGCAGAACTTATTATTTGTTACCTGATAAAGCTAGATGATTATATAGCCTGAAACAGTATAAAATCTGCATAGAAGAAATACGGCTAGTCCACCGTAAGAAGTAATGAAAAATTATTCAACGCAGTTTTCATTCTCCAGTTAACCACAGCTAGTCAGGAAATTTAGACTTGCTGCAGCTTGGTCTGTGTGCACTTCTTGGAAGAAGCATGAAAAATAGAAATTCAAGGGGTCTAGGAAAGAGAATAAAATATAAAATATTTTCATTTGGGAGTATTTTGAAATGGAAGGAGGTCTCTTAGTTTAAAAAGTGACTGTATGAAAGAGATGTGAAATAATGAACAAGGTATGAGAAAGCTTTAGGTGCTTGTATTTTAGTCTTATACTATGCTTTGGTAAAGGGACACAAAAGCCAGGAGAGTTGAAACTAATAAATGGATGCACAAATCACAAATGAAGAAGAAAAGAAAACCAAATGTAAACATTCTGTCTCCCGTAGTGTCCCCAGAGGAGCTTCCTTTCCGCATGCCTTTCTGCCAAGCTCTTTCTGCCGTAAAGAACGTACCTTAATTTATTTCTTTATCTAAATTATTTCTGGAGGAGATGACACATAGCCATAAATTATATTTGACTTGGAAAGGTGGCTGTTCAAGATACGGGGATCCCTGCTTTCTGTGAACATGGTCAATAAGCTGCATGAAGTTTTTAAAAAGCATTTTTGTCATGAAGAAGTACATGGTGTCTTCACCATTCCTCCTAGGTTAGAAAGTGGAAGCTCGTCTTTTGTACGGCCCATGCAGTCTGTTTTTAAATCAGTGTCAACTGTGGCAAATCTACACTTGCAGAACTTTGTCATAGCATGTGTGGTCCTGGATGTGGAAGATGTGCGGACTGCAAAGTGGTCTCTTGCTGTTTAATCCATGTCTTAGCTTGCTTTGGTATCTCATATTGCTTAGCATTGTATCTTTCAAGCCTTTAGAGGTCTCCGGAAAGTTTTGGAAAAGCAAAAGACAGCGGGACTTCAGATCAACGTGTAATACCATCTCCCTGTAGGCACTGTAGACCACTTTTACACAAATGCAGCTCACAGTCTCCTTCATCTAATAGTGATGCAGTGCTCCTCTGAGGTGAGGTACACTTAGAGCCTAAACCTGTATGTAGCTTGGCTGCCTTAGAGTATGAGAGTGCTTCTTAAATATAACTTGTATTTGTCTTTGTCAAAATGTGTTTATAAGTTAAAAAACCTTCAGTAAAATGTATTTTGCCAACAGAAGTTTCACTGATACTGTGCAGGGTAAAAATGCTTTTTTATGTTTGCAAATCTGTTGGGTTAGAGTAAGTGTGGATGTCCATTATGGAAGCCTTAGAGCTACTACAAACAGTCTGTGTTTGTTGTTCCCTCAGATCCGTGTTCCTCTGCACTTGCTAGAATAACAATGAAGGTAGAAGAAGCCAGCAAATAAAGAATGTATTCATTGTCCTAATTAAAAAGGCACCTAGGGCTTGAATACCATGTTCTGAAAGAGCTGTGCTGTGCAAATGGAGGTACAAGTTACCTATACGTGCTTGCACAAAGCAAACCAGTAAGATATGCTGCAAATATCCAGTAAAATATTTTCATTTGATGTAGAAACGTACAATATCATAGCTGATCAACAGCCAAACAATAATCCATAGATCAGTGAAAAAAATTGACTGTGTCACATGGACATCATGGAAATAACACAAACCTAGCAGGACACCCTGTCCACTGAAATTCTCTTTGCCTTCTCACAGGTGGAAGTGGGTTCGTGTCTTACCAAGAAAAGGCAAGGTGAATGCTCATCTATGGGGACATCCTTAAATCAGACTTCAGTTTCACACTCAGCCCGTGTGAGAGTGTATAGGTATTTGCAGTGTGACCACCTCTCCTCTTTGATCTTAATCCGTTCAGCAGCTGTGATCAAGGCCACAAAGAAGCTCAGAGGGATATTTAGGAATACAAAACACCACTATCCCAAAAATCTGTCATCTTAGAAATTAAAAGATGAGTTAGCTCTTCCTATTACTATTCTGACTACACAAAACTGTATAAACATGTTCCTGTTTTTATTGGAGACTTGCTCGGTTCTAGAAGAATGCTAAGGAATGTAAACTGGCTGCACTACCACCTTTTCCCAATCTTTAAAGCATCAAAGGTGTGACTGTCCCACTCTACCTTGCTCTGGGACATTCACCTATTTCTGGAAAATTATGGTTGTCCTGTTGCCTTGTATTGTTGGTCTTTTTGTCTCCTTTCATTCGTGTGTGTGTCTCTCTTACTGTGCTTCTTGAGACTTGGTCAGCTGTAGAAGACATAATGTGAACTTGTTCTGCCTAAGCAATATTTTTCACCATCCGTTACTATAATGAAACGGCAACTTTTATGTTAAGCTTAGGTTAACCCTCATATCCTAGGGACATTATATCAGTGCACAAGAACTTTCTCAGGTTTCTTCCCGAGCTGATTGTCTTCAGAGTTTGATTAAGATAATACAGGCAGTGCCAGCTGTGCTGGGCACACAAGGGCTTTGTTGTTCATCCTCTAATTAGTCACCCTCATGTGGTTGGTGTTCCTAAGCTCGATGTACAAATACACACCACTGAGATGAATGCACCAATATTTAGTACTCTTACATAGCAATTCAACAAGATAGCTAATATGCAGAAATATATTTTCTTTAGGAATTTAGCAAAAGTGTAGAATTGTGATCAGTCCTGAAAACCTCAGCTAACCGAGGCTAGTTTTGTTGTGTGTAGTAGCCTTAGGATACATACAGTAAGTATGTTAGCTATTGTACTTTATTTTGTTGAGTTAACTCACTGCCAATCCGATTTATCTGTAAACTAGGCATCAGTATATTCATACTATTGCTGTATCTCAGAACCAGTATTTTTTTAAAATATGATTCTCATTTCATGCTTCTAATGCCAAAATGACTGAACTACGGGTCATTCTGATAACTTAGAATTGAAATGATAAATATAGTAATATGTTTCTGCCAGTAAGCTCAGAAAATTATGAATATTTAAAGAGATAAACATGTTTGAGAATACTTTTGCCAGTTCTTATGAAATGTAATTAAAATTCTGATAGACAGTTAATGTTACAGAACTGTAAAATTACCTTGACAGAGTCTTGTAATATATTAAGTAGATAATATAAGGATTTACCACTGGGTAATAATTTTCCATTTGCTGACATGTTACTTCTATCAATCAAAACTTGTAATTTAATTTAAAATTATAAGAGATAGGAAGGAATATGTCAGTCCTATGTAGTAAGCATCTTTAATGTGAATGAGAAAAAACTTCTCTCATCAATTTAAGCATAAAGATCTGAAAAGTGGCTTACCTGAACTATAATGTCTCTGAGTGCAATGCTGACCCTGTAACCATTGTTAACATTTCCACTTACATTGTCTTTGAATTAAACTCCACGTTACTGAGAGAACAAGGTGTTATTCATGTAGTAACCTATAAACACTTCACATCTCCGCTAATACTTCTAGGATTTTGCTGTTTAACAAAAAGTGCAAAAATGCTTAGGAAATTATTTTGTAAAATCTTCCAAAGTGATGGTTTATATGGTCTGTGGATTTTAGTCACACAAAGATGATTTTAATCAAGTTTGAACTTGGCTTATATTTGATCTGCCCAAAGGCTGGGAGTATAGTGTCTATGTGTAGGGTCTCTTTGGAAGAGTGGTTTTAAAAGCAAAGTATGCTATGGAGACTGCCATTACACTCAAAGTGAAGGTACGTGTAAGTCACTTGTTTCTCTTATTTATTGTCTGTGTTACTCAGTTCC